TTTAACACTTGCATCCACCCTGGTTCATAATAAGAGGTTGCAAGGGAACTGTGACTCCGACACATGTGCGGTATATACACTGGTTTGTTTTAGGAATTTCCAAGCCCATGTTAGTTATATACGCAAGATTACGATAGCCTGATGACTCGTTGTCCCATAGAGTTTCCGCCTATTCTCGAAACACTTCTTTTTAGCAATACCGTTGTGTCATAATGCCATCAAATGTGGAAGTTTTCTGCATTTTAAGAGTTCTGACCTTACAAGTCGTACAAAGACCTATTCACTGAAGCACATTAAGTTTGCTTTTCAAGCACAAGAGGGAACGATGCCGAACACTTGTAGGTATCTCGATGCGTTTTTTGGGAAACGATTGCTCTTCGAACTTTCTCAGCTGCCAAGGAGATGATGCGTATTCGACTGGAATTAAGAGAAACGACATGTTTAACCCAGTAAATTGCTGCCTTCAATACGCACTGCAGCACCTATTTCCACCCACCGATCTCACTTTCGGCTGTTGTCTATCATGCTGCTTGTGAGTTTAATTTCCTGGGCATAGACTGGATCGATTGCTTGCATCTTTCAACACTGCCGATCGAAAACCTATGTTCATCAACACCGACAGGAGGGAAGCTAACAATCCGGCATGGAAAACGTATGCAGATGAGGTACTATCGCCCCGGACAATGAAGATGGACTATTGGAGTCGTCCTCAAAAGAATCGATCAGGTGATCTATAGCGTCCAGGTGGGAAACGACATGTCAATCGGCTATGGCCGACTGAGTGCCCGATCCCAAAAGCCGAAGAACAATTACTAGACATCAACCTGCTCTTTGAAACCTTTGATCTCTCAAGAACGGCACCAATAGCCACCACTTCAAACGTACCGTCCCAGACGGATCCGTTGCTGCAACCAAGACGTGGCACAGCTCGTGCTAGAAAACTGACCTACGGCGAAAATCTTACGTTGAACGGCCAAAAGAGGGAGGTATTAGGCAGGTCAGATTCCTGAAAGTAACCCCAGGACGCCCGGAACCTACTGAAACCCTGAAGCTTTACCAAAATCTCCATAGGAAAGCCAGCAAGCATCCGAGTCAGTCAGTCGTTCAATCAGTTCAACAAAAACCGATGAGTGTTCAGGCACACCACAGAAGCACGGTTGAATGTGATCAGCGTTTAGGGATTTCATAGAAGTACAGTCGATGTTGATGGGTGTTCACTAAACACCTATCAGACAGCCTGGATCAATGTCAGAAGGTGCCCTTTAAGTAGCGCTGGGCCGTTGTAATTTTGACATTCACACGCGCACTCACTCGCTTGTTCGGAATATAGCTGTTGTGTTATCTTCTCTGAGTCTTTTTTTCGGACACTAGGCACTGGAGCGGGGTTAGCGGCAGATACGACAGATTGGCGAATCAGCAGATATAACAATAATAGATAAATGTTTCGAGTTTTTCTCAATCATTTTGTTATCTCTGACATTTTCCAATCATGAGAAGGAATGCTCCAAAAGGTCTGTATAACTTGAATCGTCCTTTCATATTCGCCTTGATTCACACCCATGCTCGCTCTTTTTTCAGTTATCGGATGTATCGAAAAAACCAGGCGACCGACTTCCCGTCACTCATTACCATTTTTAGTGCACCCAACTATCTGGACGTGTATGAAAACAAAGGTGAATTTACTCAGTTTCTGCATTCTCCGGAAGTGGTTTTCACGTGCATTTTTCATTTGCATTTCTCTACTTGCACTGCACGCGATGAACTTTGTGCAACTCGTTGCCTTTGGTTAATCGGTTAAAATTAAATTTTGACGTCTGATTATTCACCTCAGACTGGAACAGTGAGAACGTATGTTGGGATGGATAGCTAGGCATAAGTTATTCGAAAGAATGCTTACTCATTTATCGGGTCCATCATTTTCAGGACACTATAAACCCACCTTTTACGGGAACTTAATCAACAAAGTTTTCTCATTTGGAGTGAGCACGGAAACCTGTGTTGCATTGCGTCGTGAAAGGCTTCAACTTTGTACACGTGATAATTGTTTTATGTGATTGTTACTGTCCTTGTCATTTGCTTTTTCAGTGATTCTCTTGTTGGCCTCACGAATGACACTTCTCCCTCGCACTGTACGTAACTACTTTGCAGCTCACGATTATCTAATGACTACAATGAGTTGGCCCGACCTGAAGCTGCCACCTTGACGTGGTGGTCGGGCTGCAATGATCCCGCGGGCCAGACTGGTTTGAACTTCGTTCCGGTGCAACCATGCCAAGAAAGTCAAAGGGGAGCACCCAGACAAAGAGCAGCGAGACCCCGTACTACGAGTGATCGTGCTACGGGACGGTCAGGGGCAAAGTCGTACTGTCCTCTGCGACAGGAGTGTGAATGCAGTAAGGTGTTTCCCCCAGGCGACCAGCATGTCCATATTTATGGAAGCAGCGATGCTGCCTTCCCCCGAGGAAGGGCGGGTTAGAAAAGGTCGGCCCCAAACACCGCACACTCCGATCGCCCAACGGTTGACCGTGACCGCCGACGCATTATCCAATACGGTCGAAATACTCTTAAAACCAAAGAGCCCGGTGCTGCTCAAAAGGCACCTGCTGTGCGCAGCCGCATCAGGAATGAGACAGTAATGTCCTATTCCCTGCACCCTCGGGTTAGGCCAACCCTCTGCAGGCGAGCAGGTCAGGCTGTTGATTCGTCGGCTCCGGGCAGGGTCCCCGAACAGAACCCTACGTCCTCCCACTGCCTCCCACTCAGACTTTTGAGTCAAAGGCTCAAGGTGGGGTACCTCAACCAAACTCCCTTCCTCGGCCTAGGAAACCGGGAAGTATCATTTGCCCGCGCAGTTCAGCGTCTACCGATGTCCCTCCCCAATCCCCCTCCCACCGCACAAGAAAACGTCGCTGGGCCATTTGACCGTCAGTCATCTGACCGAAGGGCCTTATGCTCCTCGCTGCCTACAAACGATGAGTTAGTCAAAATAAATTCTACTCGACACTGCAATGTGTTATCCTAGAACGGGTTATACTTGAAGCGACCTTTACAGTCAACGAGTTTGTTATCCTCATGAAAAGATCGCCGGTTGCGATTGTTGCAACTTATTTGTTAGATGCCATTATGTTTTCTGTGCCAGTGCTCATCGAAATTTCCGGTACGAGTCCAGACTTTCCATTAACATCAGATTAGGGTTGATTTGTTGGATCACATGACGGTGTCTTTTTTTAGGACCAAAGGGGCGATATCATTTTACATGCCAACTGTGCTTTTTCGCGTATTTCTAACCATGATTTTCATCTATTTCCTTCATAGCGGCCATTTTGAAGTATGAGAACAATACAATGAATATTCGACAGTTCAAATGTTCCCCGCATCCGTATTGGTTACCGAATTTCATGGATGTTTTCACGTGGTCTCTACCTTTCGTTGGGGAAAAAGGTAGAATAATGCGTTCCTGATTTACTCTTTTATGTGTATTTTCTCGGACTTCCATCCTGATGATGCTTGAGGGTGAATTTTCTACATCCTCCTTGTTCGCTGGCATTTGGCTTGGTAATTATTTCGGAGGAAATTGTCTTTGGTTCGCTCTGAAATTGTCGTCTGGACATTCAAATGTCCTCGTCAATTTTCTCGCCTTCTGTTTTGGAAAGCTTTTCAACTTTGTAGACAGCTGCATGCATTCTTTTTCAGGGGCGGCATGTCTGTTTCGTCAGGAGGGTATCGATTCTTTCCCCGTCGTTCACGTTCTTGGTTTTCTATCCAACCGTCGCCTCTGACGCTTTCCATCATAGCTTTCTTGTGTTTGTAGATCGATCTGGTTTTTTCGACTTTTTGGTCTTCTTTCTTCTTGCCGACCACCCAGTTGAATTGGAGAGCTCCTATATCAGTCTGAACGGTCGATACTTGTCCAAACCCTTGTTGAATCTCCAATCTAATCCATCCGAAATGCTACATATGGTTCAGTTGTTGAATGTGGCGACTAATTTTCACGCCAAATTTTTATACGACACACGCATGGAATTGACTATCAAACCGACAAGTTCTATTATTTTGGAACCTAAGTTCGTTCGAATTTGAGTATATTACTTCATGTTTTGAAACCCAGTGTATGCAGTGAAAACTAACCCCATGCTTCTCGCTGCACTGGTCCAAGGTGGTCAGAACTACATAAAGCCTTCTTCCCCATCTCTAGATGCCTGTTTCCAACCAAGCTGAACAATGAGACCATGCATCAGCATTGTAGTTTTTTCTTTGAGTTACTTTTCCAATCACCATTACGAACGTCCGTATTAGGCCACAACTTACCGAAACTGTGCCCACCGGTTTCGGTTGTGCAATCATATTTGTTCTTTTCCTTGGAATTTAATATTTTGCAAATTCCTCAGTTCATTCGCAGCGTCTGTTTTCAAGCCTCTATGATGTCTCTTCCATGATGTGTCTTCGCATGCCATGGAGGCGCTGGGACGCTCTCGGATCTTTAGCCACCGATCTTCGGGAGTATGGCTTATATAGGTTGCAGTCGGAGAATTTGGAACAAGATGATTATAGAATAGATCTTTGGTTGCTTGCTAGTTACTTCGGTCGTTAGAAACGTTCCGCGGTATACAACACATACTGGCTAGTCGTTCTCAGGGGTGAACTTTTCTTTTGTGCATCGCTCTGGTTCTTGGAGCGTCATGGACGTCACGTCTGGAGAACATGTGACGTGAGAGGAGTGTTTGAAAATGACTATGAAAGGTGTAGTGTATGTATGTGGCCATTTGCCTGATTTGCCGGTTAGTTAATGTCAATAGCGTTCCTGCTATGAGTTTCTGTCTAGATTGTCTGAGTGTTTCTTGATATAATCGCGCTGCGGTAGGCTAGCATCAGGTTCCTTTCCTGTCATTTTCCACTATTTTCGCTTTCAAATACTTTTTTGTACGGCAGTAGATCATCAGTATCAGTGCTGTTATCACTGTGTGTGTTGATGCATCTCTCCGTTATTCATTTCGTCCTAGTAACCGAAATGCTGGTCAGTGTCCTCAAAATCTGTTCGGATGACGAGCTCATGAAAGATGGCGATGACGCCTTTGATGGTATGTTTATTTTGTTGCTGTTGCTATTTCCTCAATGAGTGACTCTGCCCAACAGGACTAACTGAGTTGTACTTTCTTTTTCACGCGAGACAAAGGAGAGGTTCCTCGTAATTGAATCTTGATTTGTTTTGCAAGTTACCCCAGTGTTATGTAGTGTTCTTGTACCGGAATATTTGGTGAAATGCGTACGGAAAGAGGCTCTTTATGTCTTGTGTTTGTACGAGTTCTACTTGAAACCGGTCAGGAATCAGGTGGAGAACTTCACTACATCCATTGACTCGTCTTCTTATAAGAAAGAATCTCTGGTCAGTATACACACTCACAGTTGAGTTACCAATTTCATGATAAGGTTCTTGGGTTTAGTAAATATGCAAGGTTGTGTTACGCACCATGCAAACAAGTGGCATACGGGGAATTCTGTCATAGAGGTGTGCATATGCTCTACGGGGTCAAACAGTGGAACGGAATCTAGGCAACCTAGTGCTTGGACTGTGCTGTGCGGCTGCGGTATACAACACCTGTGATGCTACCGATGACAGACTTTTTAGATGGGTAGTCTGCGCAGTGAAGCTTCTTATACGGCGTCCTTGAAATGCACAGGATTCATTCTCCCTACACCCTTTTCCCACGATAATGGGGTTCCTTACCGTATAACGCTTACAACTAGTTGAGCCCAGCCCGAAACGTAGCACACCAGTCGGAACTTCTTAAGACTGCTACTTGGACATCTTGTACATAATGGAGGGACATTCAAATGGCGGGAGGAGGTTCACTATATTTTGAATTGGAGCCTCAAGTTTTAAAAACCCAAAAACTTGAGATGGATTGCCACCCACTAACCTCTAGCTTACCGAAAGGTGCTATACTAGCTGCCCTACCGTGGTCGCTGTCCATCGCCGGAAGTGTCTAGTTGGATTTCACATATGATTCGCTGTGCATTTGTCGGATGGACCAATAGACCAAGACTTCTAGTGCTATTGATGAGTTCGTTGGTTGACCTCCACGTCAGGTACTGACCAGTGAGAGCATTTTCTGTAGCTCGGCTGGTAGTATACCCTTCCGGCAGACACTTCGTGACTAGATTTCGATCAGGGGTCTTATTTTTGTCATGCTGTCTATAGATTGGCTACCCATTAAAAAATAGGACATAATCAGTTCACGTCCACAGTTCGTATTCTATGTTGCTTATGTATTAGGCGATTTCAACAACGTCTCAGCCTCACATCTGTGACTTAATTCAGGACGGTGGAACTCCTCGCCCGGCTGAGTTTAAATACGTCGATGGAGTCATGATATTGCCGCATAAAATGACTTTTCCGGCAATAAAACATCTGCTAACTATGATGAATTGAGGAGTAAGCGACATAGCTAAAAAGGTTCGAGTTGAGCCTCAGTGAATTCACGAAATTAGTCAGGAACATCCCAGAAACAATACCTGATCTATTCAGCTGCTTGATACTGATTTACTAGCGACTCACCGATCTGTGTTTCATATTATAATGGAGTAGTCGTATTGTCTGCCGTTCATTCAAAACTTCCGAATGCGCGAACTGGTTAAGGGTGAAAGTCAGCAAGTGACTTTGGTAGTCTCATCACTCCCGCCGTGATGCACCATTGCAATGCACCTTGTTGCGCTGTATGTAAAGCTGACTTTCACGTTTTTCATGCACCCATCTTTCAGCATGCTGTTGCCTTGGTGGTATTGGCAGGCCTGGTATTTGTCGCGTGACCCACGAGTGTGCGCTCGTGGCTATAGGGTTTTGCACTGTCATTGCCTTTGGTAAAGTTTTATTGTATTTATCATTTCACAGCTAGAATTCACCATATTCCTGTTTTTACGGGCGTGTTTTCTTACGTAACCGGCACTAGTCCAATTTAAGCGTTACCTGATGCTACGGGCATTCTGTTATTTTTTAGCTTGTCTTGAACGTTGTGCTCTGTCCAACTGGCCGATAGAATGGCACAGCCATGCACTCTTTGTACATAAACATTTGCTACTTTGGTAATGATAGCCAGTACACCTCGTTGACCAAGACTTTCTGTATCACCCAGGCATCTGTACAAGGTGATCAATTTTGCTTACGTAGACCTGTATTGCGATGAATGCGTCTTATATCTGTAAATCGACATGGAGTCATCCCTTTGAGTACAGGTCTCTCAATCACATCAGGTGAGTTCTTATCATAGGAAACATCCGGCTATCGTTTAAACCCTACATGGTGCCCAAGCTGAAGACCCCTTGCATTCGGTGTATACGCTACTGGTTATGCTTCGTATCTCACTCTGGTGTTTAAATCTTTAGGCCTCAGTAGTCAAATTTCGGCAAGCCGTTTCACCCTTCGACGTCACACGGCTAATTTGCTGGTGTATTACTAAAACCGAATGGTCGATCGATCGGGTTTTCCCGTTCTGCGAGGTAATCCGTAACATGATTATATTAGCTGAGGCCACATAACCGGTGTTTTTCAATCCATGGGTGTTCTATCCTTTGCTTTCTTCGGATGTGCGAAATTTTGTACAACATCGGGTCTATTTGCCCGTCATAGCTACCTTCTGGTGTTCGACACTGACTATTACTTACGACTTTTGCGGCGCTTTTCATCTGCTCCTCCACACTGTTTCCCCAACACTCGCACATTCTTTTCCACAAATTCAGAAAGTAAGTTGTGTGTTGTTTAGATACGTACTACCTCCGGGATTGTCCCTCTAGTTGACAGATTCCATCTTTGCGTCTTTTTGTGTGTCGTTCTGCATGTGTTTGTTCGTGTTTCGTTTTCAGTGGGGAAAACACGTTTCCAGAACATGTTGATTACACCATTGCTTCTCTTGTTTGAAGGTAGTTCGCTTACTTATCGGTCCCTGTATTGATTCCTTGCGGTTTTTGTCCTTTTATCGTGAGCATCTTACTATGTGTTGTCAGTCATTCGTACAGACGTTCGTCAGACAACCGAGCGTGGACACTCGAATAGTATATACGTTTCAAGTAAACAGCACTAATTTTGGGTACGCCCACTAGTCGACCCGAGCCAGGATATAGCAGTCACATGATTTGCAGTTCGTTTCGATGGTACAACCTCCGCCACTTAGACGGTAGCCTTTGAAATCAATACGTTAAACAACAGGCGCTGCGTTCAACGAAGCCACCGGGTTCTTACCGCTTGCTCGACTTCACTGTTTGTTAAAAGGCAAACCATTGCCATATAGTATAAAAGCACCTAGCAGTCGTTCTATTGCTAAAGCATGTTCAGTACCTCCCCTGTATAGCGGCCCTGCGTTTAATGTTACTTTCAACACGACCATGCATGTCATTGGTATGTCATTATGACGTGCCAAACCTGTGCACGTCAGCTTTGTTATTTCCAAAATTTCAACAATCCTCGCTCATTTTGTTGCACGAGATAAGCGAGTGTATTTCGAAAAGGTTGTCTTGAAATAATAACCAGGGTTGGTCGGGAAGTGTTCCCTTCCGTTTCCAGTAGCACATATTTTTGTTGCCGGTCGAATTTGAAAATGTGATTGCGTTCTGCTAAACGATGTCAACAACCTCTGTTGGCGCTGTTGCGTTGTGCCCAGCTGCGAAAGGACATCATTAATAACCTGCGAATTGGAAGTAAATTTGTAGTCAACATGTACACCTTAGTTCGTCTACAAACATGAAATTACTGTGCGGTATAGAATCATCTGGCACCCGGAAGCCCCTCCACACTGATACATGAGGGGCAGGTCAAAGGCGATCTTTCTAGAGGGAACGTGAATGAGATTCAACAGTGCATTACTCCAGTTCTCGAGGAAACACTTTCGGGTTTGCCGCACCATATCATATGGTTTATGCAGCAAAAATTATGGAATCTCATTCATATGTGAGAGCTGAAGCAGTTTTGTTAAAGATTTGTGGGATTCTTTGTTTCGTTCGAAGTGAACACCTCGGACGATCAACAGTACTACATAAACTTGGTTGAGGTATACTAGGGAGCCGCACTGAACCTTTGTAAGGGTCGTCGGCTCCTGTCATCAAGATCATTACGGAACATTTTCCATCGATTCCAACTCAAATGACAACACAACCGTCAAACTAAGTAATTTATAGCGATAACATATAACAGCGAGGAGAAGGGAATTGAATGAAAACCCAACAACCATTTAGTTACCACGCTTTGGTCCAGCTTATTCTTTTTCGCTTTACTACCGTCAGTCGATGACTCAATTTCATCGGATGGTGTCGCACTCACATCTCAGGCCGCATCTTTGACTCAGTCTAGAGTAAATCACCCAAATGGGGACCACAAATTGTTTTCCGTCCAAAATTTATTTTTTTTGTGACGGGTTCTCAAAGGAAGTAATTCCCTAACTCAACAGTTGTTTTTTTGATTTAAGTGTAAGTCTTTATTAAGGGTAGGAAAGAAGTCTATTTGATCGCTTCATATGTTGCGAATTTGACTTCACTGATCTTGCCATGAAGAAATTGGAATGGCAGACCGGAGCCAGTTATCATAGAGTGCTGTTGAATTCGACACCCGTGTACGTTGATTTTCGTAATACAAGCTTAATTATCGGCTGAGACCAGCAAGTGCGAAGTGGAGAAGCTGTGCACTTCAATAAATCCCTGTAAGGCACTTCCCCCACGAAGAGACAATATTGGGGCACGTAAAACTCTTATAAGGAACCTCCCAATAACCGAAGAAGACGTGACTGTTGCTATGTGATAACCGCGGGGAAGAAATACCACAGACGAGAATGCCACACACCGTCGCGCTAAATTCATCAGTGAGCTATCATTTTGTACAGCTTGCGGTCACTTCAGCTGATACTCAATTCATCACTGAACCCCTCTAGATTGGGTTTGACTTAGCCGATAGTGTAGCCCTCAGTAGACGTACCCAACCGTTCGCTAGAACTTCTCACGGTTTTACTGCCGATGAAAAGTAAGAAAGATGAAAGAATGCTTGTACCAGACACTTAACTCTACAGTTTTCGCAGTACCAATAGATCACTATGTTTTTTCCATTGTTATATGTTATATACATCCTTGTGACAAATTACCTTGTTTGCTGGTACATGCTCGTGTTTTGCACTACTATTTATCAATTACGGATATTTGAAAACATTGAATTCTGGAGCAATAACTTCAGAGGAAATCGGAAATTTTATCCCAACGTCACTAAAGGATTAACTTTCAGATACAAATGAAGTTTACTCATCTCAGTCTTGCAACTGTGCGATGCTGTTCCTAATGGCCACCACAGAGAGGAGCCAAACTTTAACACCCTGGAAGTTCTTATTTGGAGCGAGTGTACCGCAGCAATGCAAGTGATATTTATTGCAAGTTTGTTGCTAAGCTCAGCGAACAGATCAATAGCCACCTGAGCAACAACCAACCTGACCAGCCAATCAACCAATGTTATCTAGAGTTACTGCCAGTGGTGATGAACTGCTGAGTATAATATCTAATATCACCGTCTCGCGGTAACACTAGATGCTTCAATCGAAGGAGCTTGCGAACTTCTTTGTAAGCGCGCGGACGACAGTCACACACTGCGGCGAGAAGAGTGCTGTTGTGCGGCGGGAAGTTAAATGCTTATGCATGAAGTCTGACAACTCCTCCTCAGGATCATGTATGCAAGACAAACATGAGCACCCAAATCACCTCAGTGATTTGAGACTTTTTAAAGCCTGGGCGAGATGGCCCAAGTGGTTAGAGCGCGAATTTACTGACCGGAAGGTCCGTGGTTCGAATCCGACCTCCGCTACTCGACTTCCCCTGTCTAGGCTTGGGCAACCTGGCAGTATCCCAGCCGTCGTGCTTCCTTCAGGTGGCATGGCAGCTAGGCACCGGAAGGGTGCTACAGCTGAACGCTTTTTTTTAAAAGTCTGTTCTGATTCTAAATGATAACGTGTGGGGTCAGTTCCCTTGAAATGAATACTTCAAAATCGAGAGCATCCCTGGGCGGATCAACCGAAATGGACTCCTTGGCACTTTAACATTTCCTTAGTTGTTTCCCACAGTCTACTTATTTTTAACTTTTTGAGTGTATATATATATATATATATATATAATCAATTTTCGGAAAATAAACTCTCCAGGCACTTATGCACCTATTTTATTATTTACTCCGACAGTGCTATATCATTATATACTTCACTGCCACTTATAAAAAACAGCTGTGCATGAATTTCGTGGATTTATTTGTTAGTCGCCATGTGAAAAACCTTCCGACACATAATCGCGCCTAGCTAAGTAGCCGCTTTTAACCCAGGCTTAATTAGATGATGCGTTTCCTTATACTCAGGTCTATAATCCTTGCACTTTCTCTTTTCCTCCCTTACTATCCATTCTCCCTTTTCTACTCTTTTCTACGGTTGTTTGCCTATGGTTTCGTTCTCATATGCATGGGTCTGTTATTCCGTTCATATTTTCTGGTTGAATTTTTCATTGTTGGTTTTTATAAATGGGGATATGATTTATGCAATTGTGATGGTTGGCGTAGCCCTCTTGTCCACCTATCCTGGCTTCTCAGCTTTCAAATCGGGCTTGAGTGCGGTTTGTTTTTGGAATGCGCAGCTCGTACACTGTATTTCATCGGTGAACTGCCATTTACCAAGTCCTATAAGCTTTCTTGATCCGGGACCAACTCTGGTTCCGTCATAGGACAGAAGGCTATTTCGTGCCCCGTGGTTGACCGCGGTTTGCATGTTTGGCGTGTGGACAGTCTGATCTCAACTTTTTGGATTTCGTTATCTGCTTTTCCCTTCACTCGAACGATACCAACCTGGGGTTTCACATGCCCTAAAAGGTAGCCTGCTCGTGGAGAGATAAAGCTCTCCAATGGTGACCATGGTTCCGAAACTGTTTTCTACACCACTACCCTGCCTTCTCAACTAACTTTTCTTTGGCATGACAACAACGAGCCCTCGACTGTTCCGTAAAGAACAACGATCAGTCAGCATCAGTACATTGATGAAAAGTCATCGCATTCAGCAAAGGATTTTCAGCACTGAAGATGGGTTGTTTTGGATTTGGTATTGTGAATGTGCAACCTTACATCCAGATGCTTCGACTCAGCGTACTGCACCCATCGTAACATTGGAAGTATTTTATCGCGTGCGAGTTGATTTACCTGCTGACCAACTAAACGTGCATATGACGTGCTTTAACTCGGTCTTGACAACTGATTGCCGACCTAAGCTACTGTTCGTAAAGAGTTTCTATTGTTGCTTTGTCATCCGTTGACGTTCTCAAGCTTAGATTTTGTGGAGTGCATTTTTTGATTCTGAAACTTGCACGTTCCTGGATGATGGCGATGCTCTACTCACCTTTATATTCAAACATTTTTATCCTAATTTTTAGGTGCGTCTGTGGCAGCTCGTAAAGAAGTTATCCGAAACAAGATTCGGGCAATCGGTAAAATGGCTCGGGTGTTTACTGTACTAAGGTAAAAGCCTGCACTCGTTTTTAGTTTTACCTGAAGTCGGTGCCCTTGCAACACCAGGACCTATTTTTTAACAGATCCACACACCTCGTTTATTGGTTGGTGAAACTGAACCAGATCTGTTCATTTGGGGTCTGTTCATCGTTCAAAAAGAAGTGCAGAAAGTCTAACATGAAGCCCCCCATAATTTGGTGGATTAGTCAATCAACGCTTTTACATCGTATAAACTAAGCTCAATTGTGGGATTTAGTTACGCGGTGCTCGATCTTTACCTACGCAGAAGACTTCTATTCATCTTTCATCCTGAGCTAGAGCAAGATAGCTATTTACTTTGCATTCAGTCTGTCAGTTCAAAGTGTTCGGAAGAAAGTGTCGATACGGTTATATTTGATGCATCAGAACGAAATGCGAAATCGGATATTGTGTCGCAATCTAGTATCATCTTCGAATATCCACTTTGATGCATTTTAGAATCCCAGTTGCCGTATTAGTTCGAACGAAAAAAATTTTGACGGGCTTTTCACCATTTTCTCTTATGTCAGCATTTTTTCCTGTGTGGAGCCTTTTCCATCCAGGCGTCAGAGGAACTGGGATATCTTCACAAGCGCTAAACAGGTCACAGATTAGCCAGCATCCTTTCCTTGATGGTATTTACTCTAACTTGGGTTTTCACATGTTCATCGCTTTCCATCAACATCGATGACGCCTACTCGATCACACTTATCGATCAATGGAATATCCCTTCTCCCATGTATTCCGACACGTCTCGGTAGTTATGGAATTTATGCCCTCCATTTATTCAATCCCATCCTCTGATGCGAACCAGTGTCATGAAATTTATTTTAGTTTGACATGGTAGGCACACTTTTGGGCAGCAACATGGAATATTGCACAGTAGGGTGTTAGCTTTTAACAATTGTAAACACCATTCTTAAATGGCATTCATTTGTTTGAACGGGAAATTTTCAGTGGCACATCAACACTATCAACGGTCTGTTGGATGTTTGTCATCAGACTGAATCGAGCCATTAGTTTTTCACATGGCCAACCCGAACGTATCATTTGTTTTTGTGGATCTATCCACTATGGGACAAACTTGCGAGCTTCCGTTTGTGTGACAGTAACTCGTGATGACCGAAAACTACGAAAGTCACATTCCATTCACCGGTTCCGTTTGAAATAGGATAACTAAATAACCACCTTTTTACTCGTGACTGCCATAAATCTACACTCCTCATCCTGTTCTCTCGGGGACAAGCATGATTCTAAGGTCAACTTTCTTCCGCACTTTGAACAGGGAAGAATGTGAATGTGTTCTCGAGTTGAAAGGACTTTCCCCGAGTGGAATGTTGCCACTCGGTGCACTCTCTGGTGGTAGGGAGTCCTTAAAAACTGGTAAGTGTACCACTGGTTTAGCTATTCAAAACAGTATTGTGTGTGTTATGCACTCATTTGCAAGTCAACTTCATGCTAACGGGAGCTTTAACTGAAAAGCAGACGAATCTCCCGTTTATAAGTAGTTTTGTGTTTGTATTGTATTGTTATTTTTTTATCCAAAGTCTCCTGTGTAGAACGTTTGAACAAACGTGCATTTGTATGTTCACCATCTGTTTTAAAATAACCCGATTTTGGAAATTCGACTCCTGATCTAACTCTAACACTGTTAGCTGTCTGTCCTGAAACGCTGCATGCCCTGCATTTACGTGGTTTCCGTAGGCGAATGTTCCGGGTGTCACTTTCGTCCCAGCGATGTTAGTGGCAGAAAGGCAGCACACAGTAATAGCCTATTTGGAAACGAAGCAAGATTGGATGGTTTTGCCTGAGGGCACTGGATATGATGAACTTAGACAATTGTTTTACACAACCAGTTTGTGTCCACTAGCTTTGGTGTACATAAAAATAACAAGTATGTTCCCGGTTTCGCCATCTCGGTGCAATTTTTCAGAAAAATTAGACTATTTAAATGTTATTTCCAGCCTTTCGGCCGACGGTTACCATGTCTTTGAGGCTTGGATTTAAAAATGATTACTAGAATATGATTCCTCTTAGAGGACCAGTCCACTAGGCGTTCCACCCTGTTTGGGACGCGTTTCACATGTTTTGCTGGCATACAATTCTCGGTGTTTACCGCACCACCAAGGTAGGAATGTGAGGCCGATGCTCCCCTCTTATGTGTGCTTTGATACCTAGTACGACTGGATTGGTACGACTAAAAGACGAAAGAACAAAAGCCAGCATTCACGGCGGATATCTTGTAGCACAAGTTTCAAGAACAGTCAATTTCACCGATCCAAGCTACCTCGGCAAGGGAACCTACTAAAAGTTAGAGTTGTTGCACGCAACAACTTTGTCATAACATCCTGTGTAGACTCATTACTTACTAACGTCTTACCACCCTTATTTTCGTTTCTTGAATTTGGGCAGGCAGTACGAACTCAACGACACCAAAATTCTGCAAGTATACCTAACCGTATTTTATTAGCACCGTGCACTCGTTCACAATCCGCTTCTAACCAACTTTAAAACGATGGTTACTTGATTCTTTACAGCTGTTTTCGGCTCGTGTACCTAAAAAGCCTTCTGTTCTTCACCCGATGTAGAGCAATGAAGCATCTGTGGGTCGGAGCGATCGTAGAAATCTCCCGACCACGACGTACTTCATGTGATTGTGTTGAAATTAGATATCCTCGTTCGGGTACACTGGATGGTTTTGTTCGTATTGGGGATCAGCAGGGTGAACCGTGGTTATGAGAAACTCATCTTAATCACGTGGTCTAGAAACAGACACTTCGGTGTATCAAGTCATCAAGTCGAGCGGCGCTGGATATACTAGTTGGAGCTTCGGTCTGCGTAATCATACCGACTAAGTGGAACTTTCCCCTCAACCATTCCAGGGACTTTTTTAAATTCGATTAACGAAGCAAGCATTTTTTTACTGTCATCATGGGGCATTTTGAAATGTGAACTTAATGATCGTCTTCTTTACTTAGTAATCCACCAAACGACACACTTATACTTTCGTCCCTGTTCTTCCAATTAGCCTTATCTGGCATTGCTCCTGACAGTGCCACCCAATTCGAAAAGGCTCGAGCTATCGATCAAATCAACGAACGGATGCCTCCAAGACGGGATTCTGTTACTACTGTACCGGTCGTTAATTTGTCCGGCCGTACGACCGGCTCCGCCAGTCGGCCAACCGACCGTAAACCTGCCGAAGCCAGTCATGTCTCAACATCACGAGTGTCTCCGTCTTACACACATCGTGGCTCTGTCCAGCGCATCAGCACAGATCAGGGAGATTCGTCACCCGGTGCTGGTGGATCAAACCCCTCGACGGTCCGCGCCGCGAGCAATGGTATTACCCCGGGTAGCTGTTCCAGACTGCCGTCGTGTTCAACTGACCCACCAATCACTGGTAAAAACTATCCATCGGTCACTAGCACAGTTTCCACGACTCGAGGATCGGGAGAATCAGGTGGGAGCTCACGAAAGTGATGATCGTAATATAATTTTGACCGAAGTGTCTAGTTACTTGTTTCATCGGATTTTGTACGCCCGCAATCCCGCTTTGCTGTCGCTAGCGGTCACGCACGCAACCCTTCCAGCCGTGTTGAAATATTCATTGGAATTTTTAATGTTTTTTTTAAAAAAACAAGATATCTATTGACTCGATGCCCCATAACCCTTCCAGCCGTGTTGAAATATTCATTGGAATTTTTAATGTTTTTTTTAAAAAAACAAGATATCTATTGACTCGTGTGATGCCCCATTACTCGCGGATAAAATGTGCGAATGCGCCACACATCCTGTTTGTCTTTCTTCCGTGATCTGAACACGAATTTCACTCAGCATGCACGACATCATGGGCTTAGCCTGCAGGAATCGGGCAATGAACTTGGCCTTGTCTCTATGACGCTGCGGTGGAGCCGATCTTCAGTAAAACTCCATTCACTCCGCATTCAAGTTAAATGCGTCTCCATAAACCCGATCTACTCTGAAACGCTACGACCAGCATCCTGGCTCAGCTGCCTTGTGATGGTTATTCAGCTCATCGTTTGTAAAGTAATACAGTGTACCCTAGTTTTTTGCTCATTCATTTCCATCCCACCGTGCTCTTAATTTGGGCTTCTAATTTGACCAAGTCGTTACTTTGTTTCCCTTCCCTATTGCCTGTTTGTGGTTTTCCTCAGACCTTGTTGCCTGTCTCTTTCTTATTAAAAACATCGTTGTCCACTACCCGCAACATTACCAAACTAGTGGTTTGCTGTGACAGATTAGTCCACAATTTGATCAGATTGCTTCTATTCTGTCACCGGCTCTCTCATGTTCGTCTTTTTACTCACTTGCTTGATCTGCTGTATTCATCAATGTTTCCTCTCAAAAGGTAACTTGTCCTCACGCAGTCCCCATGTTCGTTACTCCCGTTGTGCGAACCTCTTATGTACATGGTTAGGGAGTGTACACTAATTTGCAGACACTGATTCAAATGCCTTTATTCCTTGCAATGTTGAAGTCACCAAAATTTCCTGGAGCACATTAACATGACTACCTTATTCGAGCGCTTTTAGTCTGATTTGCCCGCTTGAGTTTTCACTGACAAACACTTCGACATAGTTCGTCCATGGCTATCCCCTGGCGCCGCATCGTTGAGGATTTTCGCTCGTTTCTTTTTCTTTCTGTTTTACTTCCTCCAGTTTTGTACATCTGTTGCCTTTTTTGGAACGTCACGTCATAATTCGATGACAGTTTTAGCGGAACACTGATCTGTAAGGGAACACAGCCCCCGCGTTTCCATGTCGGTATCTTCGATCTGTTATTTTTCTCAGTTGCGGCAGTTTTTGGACTTTTTTCTCGCGGTCCTCTACTCTATCACCTAGTCTTTCTGTTCTTTTTTCTGTTTGCACTTGTACGGCTGACACTCCTGTCTGTTATGTGTGCCCGTTTCCCAATTTGTTCATCTGAGTATGTGCATGTCTTTGAGTTCATCTTCCTTTCTTTGATGACCATTTCATTATTCCGATAATGTGATGCTACCGGAAATACAGATGTTTTATTGAATGTTTGTGTTTCTCATCTGGTTCCCGTGGTGCGAGACTGCTCGTAACTAGCCCGTGCGTAGGCGTGGATCGTCTGTTCGAATCTTCAGGTTAACCCCACATAATTTCCGCAACCTCTTGTAGCTCGCACGAATTATTGAACTGATCGCGTAGGATGCTTCCCCCAGAACAATATTCTAAACACCTCTGGAGTAGTTGTTTGCGGTTTTTTATGTAAGGAATGGTACGGAGTGAAACCTTCAGTGCCAACACTATGTTGCTGTCTTTGATGATGATGATATAAGGAATGAATGAATCCTCAGAATCATGGTTTTCTAGATGACCTCCGTCTTTCAAACCTCGAAAGGTCTCATTGTAGGTATTTTGTCTAGAGCCAATATATGATAGGTACATGATTGGTCTGGTGCAGAACCATTTTGTACCAACAAGCACTAATCTGTCGTGATAAAAGCCATAGGCGTCCCTCTAATTTCTCGGGTCGTATGCACTGAGAAACAGGCGTAACCGACCAATGCGTTCCACCACCAGTCGGTCCGGAAGCTGGTTTTAAAACTGCGGAATGATCTGCTAACACAAATTTAACTATGTGCAGCGAAGTGTAACAAATTTGCAATTCAGACCACTGGTAATGGTAGATGGATAAGTAAATTTTCGGTGAAAGTATGTGATACGTCAGTACGGTGGCCGTAGGACACAGCCAAGTCAATAGGGCGTAAAACCAGTTGGTCTTATGTGGTAATAACCTTGGGCTTTTCTGGATATCCAGCGTCATCATCTATTTGAAGTGGCCGGTAACCATGGATAGACAGGTATAGTCCTGCCACCATAAGCGTGAGCTGTTGTCAGCTTAGTGGCTATATGGGGATATCTCAGATAGGATTGTGAATGAACTAACCTTTCATCAAATTCATGAGTGGGGTCGGGTGGGTCGCAATCCAATCGAATGTATGGCTGCCGGGAATTAGCGAGCTAATGTGGATGAGCATCGATATGGCCACATTGAGTGGTCTCTGCTGTTGGTTACTGCTAGTAGGTGGATATAGAAGTTAATTTTGGTGTACGGATGTCATAAGAACGCTGCCAAAGACCGGGCACTATTGTTACATGCTTCGTAGAAAATCTTCAGTACGTTATTGATGAAAATGTTTGCATTTGTTCTGTGAAATCAACAGTTTTCAGCGTTTTCATCTTCACTCGGGCTAACACCCATTACTACACTTCCAACTCAGTTCGAAGTTGAACAGCCGAAATCAGGGCTACTCCCGTAGGAAGATTGTAGCTGTGAGGAAACATACAAGTCCCACCTGTTGACTCGCCAATTTTGCCAGTCACTCCACAGGGGCAGCTTTGTCAGACATAAGCCATTTGCTAACGTATACCAGTATTATATCTGAGATCAGATTAGCCGAATCATTGTGTCACCCTATTGAAGGAATGAATTATCTTCCGAGTTAGGCCTAATTGTTTTTCAGAGGTCTTATAAGTTTACATAGATTCCCCGTAGCGTTTTCCCTAAGGAAATCGTCCAAATCAGTCGTCGTTGAATTATTCGATCTGGCAGCAGTTTGTTGCAGATAATGATTTGAAATAACGTGGGAGAATGCCGTGTAAGACTATAAACTCGTGGAAGACAGACTAATCGGTATACGATAAGCGACGAATTGGCGAATGCAAAGGTTTGGACAGAATACTCTGAATGAAATTACTCCAGATAAAATCCAAAACAATACAGTGCATGTTAGTAAAGTAAATTCAGTTCGTCAACTTGATTATTTGGAACTTTTGTGTCTCGGAGCCCGGCCGATTTGCTCATATGTAGATGGATAGGTCTCCACGCCCGATAATGATACCGAGGGCTCTATTAAGAGTCTGCTTAAAACAGGAATCTTGGAGCTGTTATTAAGCTGTAATTCAAATAAAAATGTGACCTGAATAGTTCTGCAGTTTCTTCCATCTAGAATTGAGCTTTACTGGCATGGCAAACTACTGTTTGGCAGATTTCTCGGTAGGGAATTTCCGTTGGCCCAGATTCACCCAACACCTGCCACACAAAAATGGTCAATGTCGTTAGCAGCAGACCCCTCTGTTGCGACAGTTTAGGATGATTAGATTTTCTAGCCTACCACGCAGCTGCATTACATGTTGACGTTAGTAAAGAGCAAAAGTAACTCACCTACGCGTGCTGAACATTTACATGGGAATTTTGGAAATCAAGATGAAAATCTAGATATATTTGGGTTTTTCTGATATTTAAAACATAAGCTACAATCCAGGCGGTTGAATTCATGACGCTTTGCACATTACCACTATGTTTTGGTAATATAACTGTTGATATTCGATGGCCAGTAACTCGAACGGATGAGAGACCGTCCTCCGCTTATGCTTCTGTTTTTCATTCACTTGTTCATGCGTTGTTCAGACATTTTCAAATGTCACAAAACAAAACCTTAAGAAAATACGTAGTCTTGCAACGTTTCTAGAGTGTTGGTACGAAATGGCCGGTGGACCGTCATTTAAAAATGAATATGGTGACCAATTTTCGGGAAAGTTTGGTAACAGTCGGTAGATTTATTGCTCCGCAACGTTTCAATTTCGATGCAAAAGCTTTGTCAGGCCAAGTGCCTAGCTTCCGAGGTTATTTGAGATCTAAGGCGGAAGGATAACCAATAAGCTACGTCAAGTTAAATCTCTGCTAGGTGTCGACTTAGAGATTTTGTGTGTTAGGGTGGGTGACCAAGTGTTAGGCCGATGGGGAAACTTACATGAATTAGGGTCCAGCCTAAGATCTAGTCCTCGTTCGGTCCACGTGATGATCCCTCTTGAACGTGGTTTGCACTTTCCGTCTGTGTGAATGCGCTACGATAGTTGTGTAAGGAAGAGGGATTCTAGCGAACTGCACGTTTTGCAAACCAATTTCGTTTTGCGAGAGACTCACCTGGAACCCAGCTGAATCTCTCGTTTGTGACAACTAGGCAACTGAAGTTTGGTCGGGTTGGGATTTCCACCTACGTTTTTGCTGATGCTTCTACATGCATTGGCACCTATGCACAGTCACGTGTTAACTCGACTTGTCTAGGACCGCATTTCATACGCTCGCCAGTTCCACACCCTTGATTCTGCTCACACTGTGATGCTTGGTGATTTCCACCGCCACGGCTGTCAGCCGCTGTGATGTGAATTACAGTACCTGTCTTAAAACCTCCACATTCTCCAGATATATTCCATGTCTCGTGTCTAAGGCATGTATCGCCATAGCTGAGTCTTTGACTGGCGTTGGGTTTGCTTCCGCATTCCTCGGTGATTTGTTTATTCTTCTTTTATGCTCACCAAGTTTACTGTACAATTCCCTGGCAGTTTGTCCTATGTAAACCTTGGTGCAATCGTTGTATTTAACTTTTACATACAGTCCCTAGTCCCCTTAACTGGTAGGGGATCTTT